GATCTACGAATATATGGCTTTACTTTATCTGCTTGGATACATTAGCAGCTGATGCTGCTAATGCTGTAAGGGGAAAAAAACAGTAATCAGTTTTTGACTGTACTTGGCTTAAACTGGCTTTGAGGTACCCTGGAAAATACAGAAGTACATCACTGAATTTATTTGCAAATGTAAGAGTTTTCAAGAACAAACCTCACATATTTGTAATGTGAGTAAGCTGTTGGTGGAACTGTAAAGAACAGAGAGTCTTTTGGTTTTATGCATGTAAAATAGAACCTGCAGTGCTGTGTTAAATGCCTTTAGCTTGCGTCTCTTCCTGACTCTTTCTGGCATGTGCATGCATGCACACAAACAAACAAGTGCAGGTGAATATAGTCAATGCAGCACCCAGGCTTTTCTCTTGGGCTTACTGTATATAACTCTGGTGGCCAAAATGCTTTTTTCTTAACTATTAAGAAACAAAAATAAAAAATTAAGTGGTATTGATGTTTTTCATTACATAATTACTTGCAGATACTTATCACTTTCAATAATGAAAATTGAAGAAAATAATTTACAACTTAATTGAATTGAGGGAATAATGTTTAAAAAGGCTGCATGAGATCCTCAGCTGTGTAGGTTGGTCTGAACGCACTGTTTGGTGCATGAAAATCTGCACTAGGTGAAGATCTGTTACACTTCTTCTCACTACCTATGAAGTTTATAGGGTTTTTTGGGGGAGGATCTGAGGTTTGTGTTATGGAAATTCTGTACCCACTAGGAACCCTGCAAAAGGCTCAGGAAACCTGAGTAGCTTCTTGTGTTGTCCTTTCCCTCCCATTCTGCTGCCCCTAGTTTATCCTATGCTCAGACTCTAACTTACATGCAACACTTCCCATTTGCTTTTGAATCTTGTCTAAATTAGAGCTCATGACCTGGAACAGATAATGTGAATACGTGCATTTGTTCTGGGGGAGGAAATCTGCGCAATCACCAGTAGGTTTAGAATAAAATACTTTTTTTTTTTTTTTTTTTTTTTCCTTTTGAAGTTTACGAATGATCAGGAATTTGGATTGGGTGATGAATAATTTTAAGTGGAGAAGTATGACCGCTAAAAAGGACTGTAATAATATGTCTGTAGAGCACTTTGAAGATGAAAAACTTTATGTACTGTAAACACTATTACTAGTGTAGCTTAATCTGGAATAATTAGCATGAGCAAAACGTAATTTTATTTAATGTAAAATACAGTAGTTCAGTAATTCAGATGCACCTGTGTATTTATTTTCACATTGTAACCAAGGAAATTCATCCTCTTTTCTGACATATGTTAGAAGGCTTTGAGATTTTGCTTTACGTAGAGACTGTGCTAGTCCAGGATAACCTGCCAGAAATGTGAAATCCCTCAGCTAGGAGGTAAAAAGAGATGTGGGTTTGGTTGTTTTGGTTTTTGTTGGTTTTGTTTTTTTTTTCATTTGCTTGTGTTTAAAGACGGTACTGAAGTGTTGTGCAACGTGTCAAATATGGAAGTGTTCAGGGGGCAAGGCAGCCTCCTTGAACTTGTGCTGTGGCTTTGGAGAAGACCTGAGTGAGTTTTGTTACAGAGCTGTGCAGGTGCCAGATTTTGCTGGGAAGCGAACACCTGCCAGGCTGCTCCAGATAACTCAGCAGCTCGGAGGCATTTTCCCAGGCTCCCAGCTGAATGGTCGCTAATAGCCGTGGGAGAGGGCTTCCCACTGCTCTGCACTGCACCACAGCCGCCTCTTGGCAGCCTCCTGGAAGCTCAAGGCAGCTTGGCTGCAGCTCCTTTGGAAAGGAAAGCAAGTGTTGCTGGATAGTTTTACAGTACAGAGTCAGTGTCTGATACTTCCTCTCAGTGTCTTGGGACCATGAAATATAACAAGCAGGGCAAATTACCATTCCCTTAAAAGGCAGCACTCACTGGGGCATGTTACAGCTGAAAGTGAACTGTGGCTTTCCTAGAATTACTTCTATTCAGTCACATTTGGGGTTCCTTTTTTTAAAATTATTTTTATTTTTTACTTTTTGGTTGGTTGTTTCTTGTTGCTGGGATCTGATCTTTTGGATTTAGAAGAAAAACAAACCTCCAAGCTACTTTTTTTCTTTCCTACCTCTGTTGATATTCTACAGACGGAGCTATATCTACGTTCTATGATGAAGAGGAAATAAAAGATTGGTCCGAGTAGGTTTGCTGATCCCCAGATGTGTGAAATTTCTCTGTTACTGACTGCAAAACAGTCTTTGTAGCTTAGGGTAAAGCTTGAAAGGAATGCTTAAAAAGTTAATGCTGGATTATTTTGTCCTTCCTTCCAGATAACTTGATGAGCAGCTTCTGGTCCTCTCTGTGTATACACTGGCCTTCTTTCCTGGAGCATATTTTACAGCTTGCCCTGGAGCCATGTTAGCATATGCTGGTGTATAAAGAGTACTGATAGTGGACAAGTCTGAATTTGAGAGCAGATGCAGACTCATGCTGAGTAAGCGTGTAGAAAGTTTAAAAACTTGCAAGATGCATGAGATTGTCAGGCAAGATGTCCTTTTGGCTCTTAGTTTTTAGCTTAATATTTCATGAACCAAAAATGGTTAATTGGATAATATATTTCTCTTGAAGGAAGCAGAAAGAGGTTATTGCAGTTTTTATAGCTCTGCAGTAATCCAGACTGTTTTCATACTGGAAAATTTGTGAACTGTAGTTGACTTTATGGGCAAGATTAGATGTCACATACGAGAGGATTTTAAAATATTTGTTAAACATAGCTGTACGGTAGATTCAAAATAAAGGTATTTTGAATGCAGCGCATCTGAAGTTTTTGTCACCTTTACCAATAAGTACAGCAAATAATTATCTTTACTGGCTTTTTCAATGAAGTCAAATATAAATGGTCATGGGAAGTCATAGAAACTAAAATTCTTTTCTAGTGTTAGTCCCTCTGGGCAGAGATTATTACCTCAGTTGCCAGTTTCCTATCAAGGCTCTACAATACACAAGCAATCAGGCTTGAGGTGACACTGCAAAAATCATGTAGAGCTGTCTGCATCTCTTATTTATATGTTTTACTGGGTTGGAGGTATGCGTTCTCCAGAGAACAGTAACTGAAGAATCAAGGGCCTTGGAGAGTAATTTCATATTTTGTTCACACCATTTGTCAATCAAATCTGATTAAATACTTCTCAGAGAATACCAGAACAGCATGAGAAATAATCAGATGTGCATGTCACCTGATTCTTAAAAGAATGTCAGGAATGCTGTACCATGCTTTTCTCTGTGAAAAGCAGAAGATTCATACATTTTCATTTCTGTTCCTTCCCAAGAAAAATACCTTAGGAGTGTCCCTGACACACAGAGGTGATAAGGCTCTCATTCTCTTTTAGGAAATTCATTGTGAAGTTGTGCTTTTATGCATGCAACTTTTTTGGCATTACAGAGATCACAGTGGAAATGCTATCGTCATGCTAATAACTTACTAATATGAAAGGCAAATTCCTTGCTTTGGCTAGCCCTACCGACAGTGTTAAAGAGCTGTGGATGCCAAACTGGAAATAGCTAAAAGTAATTTTCTTTAATTGAGTTCATAAATATACAGTTAATAAAGATGATGGATTACATCCAAATTTTTCTGTAGCACTCATCATTTTCAAGAGATGGTTTAACTTGTCACATCTTGACTTGATCTTTAAAGAGAAGTCAGAATTTAGGTATCTTCCCGAGGGGAAGGAAAAAAGATGGCTGATAAATTTCAAGGGTTTGATTGTGATGAATAACTGGAGTTCTTAACAGGACATGATGTTGAGCAGTTCATGGAGAGCTCATGGAGTTCTCTCTTCATGGAGAGCTCAGGAGGTCTGAAGCACAGGCAGGAGAGTTGTAGAGTCTGTAGGAAAGGACGTGCATTTTTCCTGGTTATGTTTAGGAATAAGGCGTGCCTTGGCACTTGCTCAGAAGAGATTAGGATGGGAGCATACGGGCTTTCCTGACTTCCTTTTAAACAGTTGGAGGGAAGAACAACAGTAGCACTTGACTTTTGAACTCTTCTATGATAACTGCACCAAGGGTAGCTGACTGTCTACAAACACACCAACAAAATAAGCATCACAAAACTCACCAGAGCTAGAGGAAATATCATTAGCTGTCTTGCAAATTCTTGCAAAATTTTACTGAGGTGTGTAGAATCACTATAGAGGAAGGAATTGCAAATTCTAACTTTCAATTTCAAGGGGAGTTTCATTGCTAAGTACTTTCATAAATTCAGTCACAACTCATTTACTCAGTGTCATTTGTGAATTAAAGTAGAACAAAAATAAAATCTGATTTTCTTAGCTGTTGTCTAATTATCTCTTTGCTGCAATACAATCCTGTCTGTAGTTTTCTCGTGCTCCTGATGCACAAGGACTTTTATTATTCTCAGAATCAGAAACTGAGGATGTGTGTATGCTACAGGTATCTGCTGTGGCAGCCGGACTAACTGTGTTTACTTGTAGATATGGAGGAGTCTCGGTGTATGCATTCCTTACTTAATTCAATGTAATTAAATAATTAGGCCTTTTGTGTGTGGTTTTCTTTTTTTTTATTAAACAACCTTTTTCTATCAGCTTTTGTATATGTCATCTTTCTCTGGAAAGCAGTGGAATGAAGTTAAGTAAATGAAATCAGTAGTTTTCTGGTAGAATACATATGAAAACCATGTAGTACCCAGGACTGCAGCCCTTTGGACTAGTGACTCAACACTAGACTACGAAGTGGGTGACATCTGTGATTAATTAATTGACTTAAATTTATTTCTGTGGTTGTAATCAGAACTTGAAGGTTAGTAAAATGCTTGGATTTTTTCATTCCAAACGCTACTTTTTTGAAGACTTCAATATGAATGGTTTCTTTTTTTTTTTTTCCTCTACAGTTATATTTTCTCTCAGCCAATCCTATCTTTGTAGACACACTGTACTTGGAGACCACAATGCTCAAGATACATTTACACTTATTATCTTTTTGTTTTATGTTGCAGCCAACAATTTTCACATTACTGCCTACTTTATGAAGAGATGGGTTAATCTCCGTTGTGCTCTAGGGAAACATTATCGTGGTAAGGAATCGGTTTCAAATAGTGTTACTTAGAATTATGCATTTCTGTGAGTAAAAATAAAAGGGAACTGATAGTTGTTAGCTACTTAAGATTCGTTTTAAAGCTAGAATTTGTTTACTCTAGAATATGTTGTCTAAAAAAAATGAGAAATATTTCTTAAGGTGTGATTATTATTCTTTTTAAACTTAATTTTAAATTTTTGTAGATCTTGCCTTGGGTTTATCAGCTAAGTCACACCAAATTCTGTATGAATGATGAGACTCAGCATTTTACTGAGTCTCTACAGGGTGAATCAACGAGAGGTTGCAGTATGAATCACTTCATTATTGCTTGAGTGTCTTGTGACATCAACTGTATAGTACAAGTGTATGCAAGAAAAAGCTTTAATTCAACTCAGTGCTATAAAATCTTTATAAAGGTGATATAATTGGACTAGGTTCTTTTTTCGTGTTTTCTCAAGCCAAGATGCTCAGTAAGGAAGTGATATCAATCCTGTCCTGCCAACAGCAATAAAGAGAAACTGTAATGATCACTGCCCGTTGTGCTTAGCTTTTCATATTTTTCTTTACATGTAAAACAAATCCAGCCCCTTAAAACATTGACTATTTGAATGGATATTTTAAAGATTTTTTTTTTTTTTTCAAATTGAAATTCATTATATTCATGAGTGTTTAAATTTTTCTTCAAATACCAACCTTTTTTTATTCTAACTCTATATTGGTGGAAGAGACTGGAATGTTGATTTTAAATGTTTCATTGAACTTCTGCCTGCCTCCTGGAAGAACTGTATCTGCAGTACTGTCTCAACATTATTTTCTCTGTATTAAATCCAGACCTTTTTCAAGGTCAATGAATACCTACTGTCATTTTGTTAGCCAGAAAGTGCGATTGCTATAAAGTATAACAATAAAAATTACTAACTGGAATAAACTTGCTGTACCAGCGCTGCCAAAAAGCAAGGCTTTGATTCTGCAGTCAACATTTTCCTTCTACATGAATTCCTATCAAGACAGGAGCATCATTTTGCTGAGTTTCACTACTAATAAATAGCAGAACACATATCCTCAAAAAATATTAAATCCTGATGTTTCTTTTCTGTGAGAATACACCTAGTATTCAGCAAACAGACAAGGAGCCTAACAGAAAAAGAATCCTGCATACTGCGATTGGTTTCTCAGTATCTAAAGTGAACTTACCTAAGAGATGATTCTTGGAGCCCCACATAACAAATTTAGCCTCTGTGAAAGTTGCCCTGCTTTTCTTTGCAGCCCTTTGGAAGTAACCTGTAGACTGCTCACAGTTTGAAAGCCATTGTACAAAGCCTTTGGGGGTGGCATTCAGCTCTTAAGAGTACAGCCTGAAAAACAATAGTCTGGTGATAAGGCACAGGAGCAGCATGAATATTTCCTTGCAAACAGTTTTGCTAACAGTTGCTACTTCTGAAAGGCTCATCATATTCATTACCCAGTTATAGTAGCTTAACTAGCTGTTGTGCCAATAAAGATATGTCTGAATTCTCTCTATAATTTTTCAAACGGTGACAAGTAGAAGGTAATCTGTTTTAACATCCCTATCTTTCATAGTGATGACTTGAGCAAAGTCACTGCTGGTGAGGCCTTGGAGGGTTTTGTCAGGTACTAGTGGTGGTGATAAAGAAGCACGACCTTCTAGAGAGCCATTTGCACATATGGAGGATCTGTGCTGACAAGTTGTTTACATTCAGCCAGTATCCTATTTATTATGTAAAACCCTTCAATTTTCTGTCCTCTTTAAACAGAGATTTAGTTGTGTTCGCAACAAACTATGTAAACTTGAGTAAAATACATGATTCAGTAACAGTTTACTGATTTATTTATTTACTTTAAGTTACTGCAGTCAGAGTTGGAAACACTTGTCCATAGGCCGAATTATTATATCAAGTCCTGTTGGAATATGTTGTGCTATATTGTGCTGTGTTACAGACATGATTCACAACTTTTGTATGAAAAGACTAATCATCAGAATAGCACAGAATAAGTGGTTAAGTGTCATTTCTGTAGGTTCTGTCTGGTATATTTGTCCAGAGGTATGTGTGGGCTTATTTGCCGCTGTGAATGTCTTCTTGGGAACTAAACTTACTCTGATATGCCAATTTATTTTTTTTTAATGATTTTAAAACAAAAATGAACTGCATGCATGTTTTCAGTATGTGTTTTTTTAATGTGTCTTCCTTTCAATTATTTCTGCATAGAGCTACGTATGTTTCCAGACAAATTTGTTGTTTGTATCAGTAAACTTGAATTTAATCCAAGCGCTTGGACATGTGAAAGCGGTGCACTGGTATGTACAAAGCTGTACTGTAATGGTACTGGTTTGTTTTATAGTGGTAAGATGAATGTATATATATAGCTGTAATTATCTGTGTATTTGTGAACGTCATCTTGTGATCAAAATGTCACATTAACAGTTGTACAAAACATTCAGGAACAGATCCGTAAGTGATTGTTTGAAGCAGACAAGAATTTTTGGAATTTTTGGAAGCTCAGCATTTTCAGAGGAACAGAAGGCTTAGAATTTTGTCATTTATCCTTGAAACACTTTATTTTCCTTGAGGATAATGGAGCAGATTCTAATGTCAGTGGCTTTTTTGTATGTTTTCTTAGCACTTGTTCTGCAAGACAACTCAAATGAGTCAGTGCTAGGCCCTGTTGGGGGAAAAAAGGTCCCCAAGCATTTATGGGCAGTGGTGTATAGTTAAATACCATAAACAATTCTGCTTAAATATTTCATCTTGAGGGCTTTATAAGGGTCAAAGGCTCATGAATTTCATGCTGCAGTTAACTGCCAGTTGTCTCAGGAGTGTTCACAGTGGCCCAGGTGGCCTGCGGTACAGCACACGGTCTGCTCTGTGCTTGCAGTAAGAGTCAGCATTACGTGCTGATCTCTATGAATGTGACAGTCGTTTGTCTTGGATATATTAAAATATATTCAACATCTTATAAAAAAATCTAAACATTGTACTTAGTACTTTCTTATATCAAGCAGGTTTGTATTTACTGTACCTAATGCAGTTTTTATTATCTTGATTCTTCAACTGTGTAAATATCCTTAAATGTCAAAGCAGTAAGGAAATCCTTTTCTGTGGAAGACATAAGTCTAACTACTTTACAAGTATTTTGCTATTTTGAAAATTATTATTTTCTCAGTATTGCCTTGAAAAACTATTTAGATGCTTTTTATAGAAAATCCTGCCTTTGCATTTTGACTGAGAAATAGTTATTTCTTGTTTAAGAATCTCTTGTGCAATATCCAGTTTCAGCCTTTGTTATTTGTATTTAGCTTTAATGATAAATTTTCTTCTTAGTTTCTTTCTGTGAGTCTGTGTAGTAAGAAGGCAAATGAAAAATAGAATTATATGGTCTTTAGTTTGACTATTTAGAAATTTGATCTGATATATGGAAAGTCCTAGTCATTTTAAAAGGGTCTTTAAAGGTTTGTGTTTAAAAACCAAACAAAAACAGCAGCAAAAAAATCCCACATCAAATAATCTCAATGGGATCATACTGAAATCAATACTAAAGCCTTGGGAGTTTGCTTTACATACAGATGCAGTACGTGCACATAGAACAGGTGGGCATGATCAGTGTAGTGTGTTGGTAAAAGAGAACAAAATAAAGCTATCCTTAAGTCATCTTCCCTGATTTGAAAACTAACAAGAAGTAAGTAGACCCGCAGCAAATGTTCTGCAGTACTTTCTTAACTCTTGTCACACTAACCTAAGGGGCTTCCTGTGGACTGTTTTATTGGTCCATCATTTCTACAGCATGTTAATGCTACATTTTTCATACAGTACAGTTCAGTACTTTCCCAAACTGAGTGGGTGTATGATTGCAACTGATGGGGAATTTCAGGGTTTTTTTTGTCACTGAAGAAATAAAGACTGAGGATCTGCACTTTGTGTACTTTTCACATGCAGTTTAGCACTGACTGTGCCCGAACTTTTAACTAGATTACAAAAGACCACCCAGAAGACCTTTCTGTTGATAGACTCCAGTGTATTCTGTCATGGGCTAAAAATGAGGCATATGTTTTGTTTTCCTCTATATGTTGTTTAGGTTTGAATCATTCATTTCATAATATTGTATTTAAGTTCGTTTTTGTGTTTAATCAGCTCACACCCTTCGTTTGAGGGTCTATCTGTGTTTTATAAAAATAGTTGACTCTGTGTTAGTGGAGATTTTGTCACATTTCAGTGTTGCTTAATGTCATTACCGTTAATTTAGTTGAGACTTAACAATTTTTATTTTTGTTTTATACCTGCTGTTATGTAGCTTTATGGTTTTCGGGCAAGCATTCGTTCCTGAGCTATTTTGTCTCTCCTGGCAGAGACAGTGACTAAACCAAGTTTCAAGAAATGTAGCCAGATAAAAGATATTCTTATGTCACTACACCTTAGGAAAGATCATAATTATATTGCTTCTGAGATATTCACAAGCACAAATTGCATGCACAAAATACTCAGAGAAGTGATTTAAAATCTTGTGATGCATCCTGTAAGACCAAGGAAAAGGTGGCTTAGGCAGACTCTGTCAAATTAGATTTAAGTTTAATTAAAGATTTCAGAGTGCTTCTAAGGAGTGGATCTGAAATAAAATAGAAGATCAACTGATACGGAATTTTCTCTATTCTAAAATCTGTTTAGAAATGGGTGTTGTCGTATCTATGAAACAGGCTGCAGGCAGTAATTATCATTTTCGAAGAAATTTCTTTTTAAAGAAACATTACAGCAAATTATTGAAAATAATTCAGCAAATTGGAAGGCTCAAGGAGAAGATGGAAAAATAGCCTGGCTTATTAGTGCTAAGTACAAATACAAAGCCGTTGATTCCTGCTTTGCAACACTGTGTTTGTAATCTTGAATAGTTCTGTCTTGGAAAAGAAGACCGCTTTGGGAATATGGCAAAAAAGAAAACCCAGGCAAATGAAAGAGCTCTAGAGAGATCAGTCATCTCTGCAAAGATTACGACATTTTTGGGGCTGATTATTATGTAGAGAGCTAAAATGGAAAATTGGAAATGGGTTATCTGAAGAAACAATGTAATGGAAATGGGTGGAAGGTTTATTGAAGGCTTGGGACCATTTGAAAATGTGCTAACAATGGAGTATTCATTGATAACTACATCAGCTTTATACTGGAGTCTATGAGAGGAAGTGATTGCAGGGAAAACATAAAGGAGGTTAAGCGAATGACGAGACTGATGTGGAAATTTGAAATTACCATTCATATGACATCAGAAAAGAAAGCGGAGAGCAGGGGTCCTGCTTTGATTAAAAAGATCTCCAGGTTACCACTAAGCTTTGTTAAGTTGCAGAGAAAATTATAGAATATTGCTCTTAAAAAAAAAAAACAAAGCAAAAAAATAAAAACAAAGCAAAGCATACATAGGTGGAATAGGAGAAGAAAAGTCCTAAAGATATGCCCTGTGCCTTTTAGATCTCCAAGAATGAAAGAAGTAACATTTCATCATCTTCATACATGTCTGATTTTATAAATTGTTGTGACATACTTTATGTACATTGCAGAATTCTCTTTATTAAAACATGTTATAAGAGAGCAAGTGATATAATTTGCTTGGATTTTGATTATGCTGGTAAGAGGCTTCTGATTCTCCCATGAAAACATGTACGCTTAGCTTTGATTAACAGAGAGCTTGATATTAGTGTGTGCTGCTGCAGCGTTGTGCTTGTTGCAAAGCAGAATGAAAAGGAAAACCTTTTTGGTTTTGGTTGTTTTTTTTTTCAGGCAGGAATAATTTGTAACCGTTACTAGAGGATTTTGTGTGAATTTAGTTATCTTAAGAACTTTAAGGTGTTACCAAGTAGAGCAGGGAAGAAGGAAAAGTTGTGGAATACAGTTGTACATTTCACAGTCTATAAACTATTACATCACAGTTGAACTGCTGGAGTTTCTACTGAAAAGGCAGTCCATATTCCCTCTAGTTCCAGCTATGTATTGCTTTCCTTTCTGGTTACAATGGATCAGCCAAGTGATTCTGCAGCCAAGAATGAATTAGTTCATTGAACTGATCTAGAAGAAAATTATTTACTTGTGAAGTTTCTTTTTTTCCTTCTGCTAAATTGGAGGATTAGTTTTCCATCATCTCAGTGTACTTAACCAACTCAGACTGTACTCTAGAGTTGCTGACTGTGACACAAAAAGTGTAGCAGGAGCATGCAGCCAGGACTCGGAAGAAGACGACAGGATAGCAGCTGATAATTACCCTCATTTAGAGGTAACATCCAAAATGCATGCTAATAGTGCCTTTTTAATACTTGCTTGGCTTTCAGATTCATTATCAACTTTTACATTTCATACAATCTATTTTTCATTTGTTTTCAAATATTATGCAAATTTTTATTTGGTCAGTTTTGGAGACATAGCTAAAGGAAAACAATGTTAAGCTGTAGTTCAGCAATTTCTTTAAGAGGGTTCGCTGCTGGGGAAACTGCAGACAACAGATCCTGTCCATATACCACACGTGGTTGAACAGCTGAAGAATTTTCTGTTTTCTCTTCAAGTTTCCATTTCTGATGCTTCAAGATTTTGTCTTTTTATTTATTTATTTTTTATTTTTCCCTCTCACCTTTCATGCTTAACTCAGTCTGATGCAAGACTGAACCATGCGGTGCCTCCTGCCTTCCCTTCTCTGATCTGTGCATTCTTGTCCTTGACATCTGTCAGCATTGGCATGTTGGGAGCTGGTTCAGTTCACTGGTTCCTGTGAAAACAAGGATTTTTTGGTTTTCTTTTTTGCTGTTGTTGTTTGCATGGTTAGCTTTCAGCTGGATGACTTCAGTGGCCGTGTTCTCACTGTGTGGCTGCATAAATACTCACATTGATGCAGAGAGGCTTTTGGCAGTACTCTGTGTTTGATAAGGGTGAGGTTTTCCTTTTAATGTCAGTGTAGCTTTAAAGAGTGCTGTGGTACTATTGTTTCTGACTTGGTCATAAAGAAGAAAGCTACTGCAGTTTTAAAATATTCACTTTTGTCACAGGTGTCTGCCTTTTCTCCTTGAAAATCACCACTTCTAGGTAACAGTTTGCCAAAAAGTCTGTGTGCTTGCACCTCATCTTGTAATTCAGCCTTGCGGATTCGTACAAACTGAAATTCATTGAGCTTTCAGCTAATGCACCAAATGAGTGGGAGCAGCTGGGGTGTGTGCTCCCTTCTGCCAACCTTGATGTGGGGGCAGAAAGCTCTGCAAAAGGGGAGGGGAGGATGCCTGAGAGTGGTAATATGGGAGATTGCTGCAGCGTGATTTGTTAGAACTTGTCTTGG